ATGTGTATAAGAGACAGGTGTCGCGGTCGGTGTTTCGGTTCCCGGCGGTGCCTGAGGCCTCTTTCCTCTCTTCCTCTCGTAGCTGCCTCTGTCCCTGCTGAAGACGGCGCAGAACCACCCCATGGTGAGTCCCAGTAGCGCGGCCCAGCCCCGGTCCCCACGGGCCACCCTGGCCTTGGGCTTGCCGGTAACACCGGGACAGGTTCCCGTACCGGGCCTGGACCGGCGCCCCGTGACTCCTGTCTCTTGCAGCTGGTGGAGCTGAAGAACGGAGAGACGTACAACGGGCACCTGGTGAGCTGCGACAACTGGATGAACATCAACCTGCGGGAGGTCATCTGCACGTCCCGGGTAAGGCTGGAGCCCCCTGCCCCAGGCTGGGGTCACCCACCCTCCGTGCCCCCGGGGAGCGTCCCCTGAGGGCGCTGGGCTGGCTCTGCTGTAACTCAGAGGCCATCGCTCCTGTGGAAGTGTGACTTTGGCCTGAAAAGCGAGTTTAATACCGTTATTTATAATAACTGTAACAAAGGAACACACGTGCACTCTCTAGCAGGGTGGGTTTCTGCGCAGCACAGAAGGGCCCTGTGAGCATTTCCTCTCCAAGAGGGCTCCTGATGCGAGGCCGGGGGGGGGCGCAGGATGGGGCACGGTAGCCCATGCTGTGATGCTGAGCTGGGTTTCCCAAGAAAGGAGCTTTCATCTGTCACACGCTGTCTGAGAAGCGAGATCTGCTTCAAACACCGTGCTAACTTTTATTAACTTGCTTCTCTCTCACCCTCTTAACTCTCCACATCAAAACGGAGGAGCCTGTTGTTTACCCACGCCGAGGCTCTGAGCCGTCTGGTACTTTTGCCCGTGGCCAAAGGTGCTCCAGAAGATTGGGATCTGTGTTTTGGGCTTTGACCTCAGTCAGAAATGTCTGGTCTTGTCCCTGCTAGCTGTGCACTGTGGGAAGCAGCAGCCGGATGGATGTTGGCTGTTGCTGCTCTTTCTCTGCCTCAAAACATCAGAGCTCTGTGGGAGAGACTGGCAGAAATCCTCATTCTTCTGAAAAATCTCTCTGCAAACCCCCAGTACCTGTTGCCTCCTCAACAGGAAAGTCCTGAGTGATATTGCCGGGACACAGAGGCACGTTTGTGTGTCGGCATGACAGAGTAAAACACCCTGAGTGAGGTTTGAGGAGGGACCTTTGGGGCAGAGCAGTGGGGTTAGAAATTTGTGGGTTGTGGTGGGACAAACAGGGAAGGAACTGCTGTTGAATTTAGCAGGAGGGGGACTAAGAGGAGGTAGCAAAGCCTCATCTGTGCCCACGACACGGGTGATGTCCTTCTCCTTGAGAAGCCGCATCCTACGGCTGAGTGTTCCGCTGTGGAAGAGCGATAGCTCATCTTTTATCCCCTCTGAGTGATCTAGAGGGATTCTGTCACACAGGAAAGCAGCCAGGCTCATCAGCTGTGCCTCTGCCTCCCTTAGGCAAAAAAAAAAAAAGCTCCAAAGTCCGGGTGAAAGCGGCGCTGGAGCTACTGCCGGCGTGATACTGGTGGTACTGGTGGGGACTGGCCACTAGATGGCACGGAGCGGCGGCGGACGGGCAGCCCCGGCCCCGGAGGCCGTTGTTTACTCCAGGGAGGCCGGAACGAGGAAGCGAGGGAGCCCGGCTCCATCCCTTCCTGCATCCCGAGCCAAGGAGCAGCCAGGCGGATCCAAGGAAGGGCGGGGTTTGCTGGGTGTCTTTTGGAAGAGAACTGTTTCTCTCTGTCTTGTCTTGTGCGCGAAGGACTTGCCTGTACAGGCAGAGTTGCCCCAAATAACTCCTGGGGTGTGGGGGGGAACTGACTATTTTCTCCCAGGAGAGAAGGAACGAGGCGTTCTTGTTTAACCTACTCTTGTGGGACATGACAGATGCCTCGTCCACATGCTGCCACTTGAGAATCGCTGGGCTCGAGCGATCCCATCTGCAGCCAAACCCTGACGGAGCCGCTGCCGAGCCGGGGCTGCGGTGGCGGAACGGGGCGAGGTGGGTCCCCGTCCCTCCTCCCAGTTACATCATGGGCGGCTGAGTTGTTCAGCTTTGCTCCATCCCTATTCCCACAGCCGCCCTCGGTATGTGGGAAGTGAAGCCCTGAAACTTCATTAAACAACTAACAAACAGCATCTAGAGATGGCTGCTCTGTAACTGGCCGCCCGGAGACTTTTAAAATATAGATATATAATCCGTAAGCTCCTTATTTTCCGCAGTTGCTGTGCTCTGGTGGCACACACCCCGCAGCCAGCTGGCTCCAGACCTGCGCCTCTGCTCCGTCCACGCCCCAGAGGAGCGAAGGAGCGAGGTGACTCCCAGCCGAGGCTGTTGGAGAAGAAACCCAGCTGTGCAGACGCCTTTGCCGCAGCTGAGTTTTTCTTGCCAGAGTTGTTGTTCGTCGCTGTTGTGTGTGTAACTAACCACCCTCTCCTCTCTGATCCTGCTTTCGAGTCCCTTCTTACACGAGAAGAGAAGGTGCTTGTTCCCTCAGCCGCCTCTTCCTTTATTTTCTGCGTGTGTTAGAGGCAGTTGTGGAACAGATTGAAACTAGAGTTGCTTGTGGCTGAGTGCCCTCCGCCCAGGTTGTAAGGCTATGTGTTTGGGGGGGGGAGGAAACCCACCCTTTTTTACAGCTAGTTGCAGATGTATGCTTTCAGAAAAGATTGGCGGAGCTGGCGCGCTCTCCAGAAGTGATAGAAATATTCAAATGCCTCGAAAGTGATACAAAAACACCAGGTTTTGTTCATAGCCTAACACGTTGCTCCCCAATAGGATGGAGACAAGTTCTGGAGAATGCCAGAGTGCTACATTCGTGGCAGCACAATTAAATACCTGCGTATCCCCGATGAAATAATTGACATGGTGAAAGAAGAGGTGGTGTCCAAGGGCAGAGGCCGTGGTGGGATGCAACAGCAGAAGCAACAGAAGGGCCGTGGTGTTGGAGGTGCTGGACGAGGTAACGATCCTGTTTGTTTTTCAGCTCGGAGTGGGGTGAGCGGGATCCCTGCCTTTAATTTCACCCGTTGTGTAAGGAATGGCTCTTGCATCTCGGCTTTAATCCCAGGACTGGGGGAAGCTGGAGCCGCTCCTGTGCCAGATCTAGCTGAGCGAGCGTGTTGCCTCGCTTGTAGCAGCCTCTGCCAAAGAATAGAACAGATTCATGCCAGGGATGTGCCTCCCTCCTTACTGGGGTTGGGCATGAGTCTAAGAGAGTCTGAACTTGACTGTTTCTACCCCTCCTGGCTAGTTGGGGAGCGTGGCCCTACAGAACTGGTGTCTGTTAGCTTAGCAAGTCTGGGAGGGAAACAAATGGCTATTCTGTTTGAAAATAGACTGGGCTCTGACTGTGGCAATGAGAGAAAAACATCATCTTTTCTCCCATTATAATGGGGCTTTTGATCTCCTGAGTTGTTGATTTATTTTTTTTAAAAAAATATCTGAGGGTTTGTGTCTTTCCTGCTCAACATGAATAATTCATGCTTCTGATAAAATGGGAGGTTGCCACTTAGGAAGAAATAGGTCACCAAAACAACTCTTCCTTCCCTGCCCCACTTCACACGGTTAGGTGATCTCAGAGCACTTGCAGATATATTTGCTCTTTTCTCCCCAAACTGTCCTGCTGGAAGCCCAGGGGCCGTTTCTCTCCTTTCCTGCTGACCCCTCCTGCCACATCTTTGCGATTCACCTTGTGGTCACCTCGCTCGGCCCCGGGGTTGCTCTCAGGACAGGCTTAGCCTGCAGTAGGAGTTTAAAATCCTGAGTGTCCTCACTTGCTACAGGCAGATTGGGTTTGGCCTGGGAGATCTTGGGTTTTAGAAAGAGGCCTGGGGAGTGAGACACCGACAGGCAGAGCTTCCCTGCGGAGGGGCCTTAATGAGCTGCCCTTGATTTGACTACGTGAGGAATCCTGGTCGGACAGCTGGGATCTACCTGGGGCCATCCCACCACACCAGGACACGCCACGTGCGGCCTCTCCGACTCACGGGGACTTCTGGAGGAAAAAAAAACCTTTAATTTCTGCTTCCCTTGCTACCTCCTGGGAGCTCCAAGCATGCAAAAGTGACCTTTACAAATCTGAAGGCTCCTTTATTTTTCCTCCTTCCCTTTCAAGTGTCCAAAGCCCTTGGCATAACAGCTCTTTTGGATATGGTCATTTGGACAAACATTTTAGCTGAAATATTTTTCTCTGCTGTGGAAATATCCACCTTGTGGAGAGCTCTGTTTGAGGTGGAGTTCCCTGCTGTTTTGATGTGCAGCTTAAATTCGCTGATGGAATATTTTAAAGGGAAGCTTCGGCATTTGCTAATTAGCTAAAAGGTTTGGCTCTCATTACTGAGACATGAAGGGAGGAGGGGAAAAAAAAAAAAAAAAAAGGCAGGACAATTTTGTTGAGAGGCCGGCAGGCAGAAGTAAAGCTATAATTGTGCACACAGTTGAAAGGATTATTGTTTCTGACACTGGTAATCCTTCGTCTTTGACTTCTCAGCTTGCCAAATTCAGAAGTACTTTGCAGAGCAGCCTTTGCTCTGGGAGCAGCCAGAGCCCTGGGAGCATCCCAAAGACTGCAGGGTTAGGAGCAATTTGGTTTTTACCTCTGGTTTAGGCACGTCTCCTCGATGAAGCAACCAGAGCAGAGGGCTCTAGAGAAGCTTTTCTGCCTGGTGCCCAGACTGGGTGCCCTTTGGGTTCTGCCTTTTGTGAGAAGGTGGCTGGCAGGGCAGACCCGTGGTCCCTTTATCACTTGTGTGATGCCAAGACAAAACCTACTGCCTAGAACAGCTGTTTGGGGTGAATCTGAGCAGGGAGGGGAGGGCGGGGGTGGGCTCTGCAGCTCCCATGACAAAGGTGGACGCAGCTCTCAGGTAGGAGGACGCTCGTACCGCTGCAGTGGGTCTCACCACAGCCTCCCAGTTCCTGCTGCCTTGTTGGCAGTGCCCTGTGCCCACTGCCCTCTCCAGGCCAGCAGATCACTCTGTCCAGCAGCGAGGTGGTGACAGAGGGATGTATTTTTTCCCATTTTGCAGCTGAGCACTCTTAATGAGTCACCCTCTTCGTTGCTTTTGGTTTGCCCTTACAGCTCTCAGGGGACACGGTATAACCTGCTCATCCCAGCGGGTTTAAAACATATCGCTTCCTTGGTTAGCTTTTCAGAAGTTAACTTTGATTTACTGTGCTAGCACAGCTGGCTAGAGGGCTCAGCACACCGGGGAGGGATCACTGAACTTGCTCGAAGGGGATAAATTTATCCACCTTGTAAATACGAGGTCTGGAACTGACAAGGAGAGAGCTAAAAGCTCTGGATTTGCTTCTAAGACTAGAAAATAAGCGTGTGCTTGGGTAAAGCACACGTAACTGTAAAGCTCTGAGTGGCTGGGAGATGTTGCTGGCTTACAGTGCTGCTGCTCCATCCATGCTCTTTCTTTCTGCCCCGTAGGTGTGTTTGGTGGCCGTGGCCGAGGAATACCTGGCAGTGGAAGAGGCCAGCAGGAAAAAAAGCCAGGCAGACAATCAGCAAAGCAATGAGAGGCTGTCTGTGCCCTGGCTGGGGACAGTGCTGCGATGCCGGTTGGTTTTTATCACCTCAGGATTGCCATGTGTTCAAAAAAAAACGTTCCCTTTCTACTCTTCCGCCAGCTGATCAGTGCCCGAATCGTGTAGTTTGGAAGCCCCTCACAATTTAATCTGGTGGAGTGGAGTTATTCGCTCCTTGTAGTCAGCAAGTCATTGGAAATATTTAAAAAAAAAAACAAAACAAACAAAACCAAACCATTCATGGGTAAGGACCTAAGTTCTGCCTTCTCCTGAGAGTGAAAGCACTATTTAATTTTTCAGGGTCACCAGGTTTAATTTAAAAAGATTATCCTGTACAGTGGTACAAGAACGAAGGCAAACACTTTTCTGGATTGTTTGGATTCTTTTTTTTTTTTTTTAATACTTGAAACTTGGGAAACTTGTTGCATTTGTAAACAGATGCGAGTGTTTTGGTTTAGAAACACTGAACTTGAGGATATTGTATCTTTGCATGATTAGTCTTAAGGGTTTGGGGTTTTCGAAAAACAACAAACTTTTAAGCTGTTGCTTATCTTCTATTTCTGGCCAGTCAGTTCTGTCTCTCTCCTATAGCTTAAAGGAGAGATTGGAATGAACATTGCATTGGCCTTCAGGGGTTGTTTCCAAGAGAGCGTTGTGATAAATGAGGGTTTCCCAATTAGTGTATTACTAATTTGACTTCAGATTAGAAGTTTCCTTTAAAGGAAAGGGTTTTCTGTGTTTTCTCGCAGAAGGCTGGTGTTCCCCTTAACTTTCCATGGGTGTTTTTATTTTCTGAAAAGCAACCAAGCTGCTGGTTTATTTTTCCCCTCCACTTTGAAAACTCCCCCTCGTGCCTGTGACAAAATCCTGAACTCTGACAATATTTCTCAAGCTGATTTCTTCTGGTACCTAGTGATTGACTTCACTACACCTACTTGTCACGTCCTTTTCTGGTCACTGATCATCTTTCCTTGAGGACACAGACCAGTGTGGGAGTGTGTAGGTTAAGAAAGCTCCTGTGAATTCCCAGGTCGGGTTGCTCCAGTCTTCCATCCCCCGGGGTGCAGGGTCCCCTGAGCAAAATGCACCCACAAAATATCCTGGCTGGTCTGAATCGCGGGGGGGGGGGAAGCAAGAGGCTCTGGCTGTGCCTCGACACCCTGAATGGATGAAACAGCTTCATTTTAGGGGAAAAGCTGATATTGTGACTTGTTCTGAAGAGTTTTTTTGGTTTTTACAACTGATTCCCATATTGAAGCCTACTCTTTGCCAGCACCACTGTATTGAGAATGAGTAAAGAACATGCTTTTATATATACTTATTTTTTTAATGTTTATAGAATTTGTGCACAGTGGTGAGTAGGAATAAATCACCAACCTCTACCAAACGAGTCCCTCTCTCTGTCTGCCACGGCGCTGAGCTCTGCCTGACCCTGACCGGCTTCTTGCCTAAACCCTCACTCGAGGCCTGGTCTAAGTAATAAATCCCCATGCAGACGGGTTAAACCTTTGGTTTCTAACAGCAGCCACGTGTTCTCCATGGCTGCCTTTCCTCGGTGAGGCGTTCACCACCAGCACCAGAGCTTGAGCCCCATCCCGGGCGAGGTGGCTTCTGCCAAGGAGCCAGTTCCAGGCGATGGGAACGGGACACACGTGTCCTCCCGCCTGGAAACTTGGTCTCAACATAAACACTCTTGTGGCATTTTAACAAAGCCCAGCCTGAGCCCTGTGTCAGACTTTCCCTTCCCAACCTGCTCCCTCCCTTTCGTGTCCCTCCAGCCACAGAAACTCCGTGTGTTACAGCTGCCTTGGTGAAAAAGGAAACGGCTGCAGTGCTGTCTGGATTTTAAGGTCTGTTCTGGCCAGATAAATCTTCACCACAACAATGGGACCTTTGGCTTTGGCTCAGGGTAGAGTCCTCTGAGTACGCCTTATCTACTGGCGAAGCTCTGGGGTCAGGCGTTGGAGCTCGTTAAGTTCTGCTTTCGTTTAATTACAACCATGGCCTTTAGCAGCCTTCCCTGCTTGCCTCTCCCCTTCCTTTTTCCACCTCTGTAGGAATATTTTTGTCCTGAGCCCTAGCACAGCCCTGATGAGGGCAGCTGGCCCCATGTGGCAGCAGGTTGGGTGGAAGATGGCATCGAGTGCAACGCTCAGCTGTGGCTTTGGGCGTTTTTGCCCCCAAAATGAGCATCTGGGGCTGTTGTGTGCTCCAACCTTACCTATGGTAACGTGAGGAGGGGTGCAGGGAGGTGAGCTGTGGCTGAAATGAGGGGGGGGTGGGGGGGAAAAAAAAAAAAAA